GATGAATATCACAGGCATGGAGGAAGTCAGCTCCTTCAGCTTTGCCTCTGTAATGGTTCCAGCCTGAAGACAAGAATGGAAGAACCATCTTAGATCAAACCCAGCAGAGATCCAGCCAGCCTTGGTCCTGTCAGAAGATTCAAGAGAGGAGGGAATGGAATGCCCTTCTGCTCGCCCACTTCCAGATCCTCTGGGCAACTCACAATGGAATGCACCTGATACTTGGAAAACATGTTTCTGTTTTTGTCAGCTTAATTCACTCCTTTTTTTTTTTTTTTTTTTTGAGAGGTTTTTGCTATAGGGCGTGTGCGCTTGCCCGAAAACAAGAGAGACAGAAAGCGAGAAATCACCCCCCAGGGGGGATGGCCCTGCCGTAATCCCTTCTCCATTCTCCTCTCGGGATCTTGGGCACACATGCACATGCGCCCGGCGTGAGTTTAAGCCACCGGGTCCGGGACTCGAACCACGGTTGACTACATGGCAGTTCAGTGACAGCCATTCGCTAACTGCTGGTCCCAGCCTGATTCTTGAAGTTGAGTTCCACATGGTATTATCTGCCATACACAAATAAATCCCTTTGGTGCTTTACTGTCCTCTAGTTTTATTTTTTCACTCATCCATATATTTCAGAAGTATGTTGAACGCAGCTACGTTCCAGAAGTCATGATAGGTGCTGGGGATTTAAAGATAAGATTAAGATAGAGTTTTGACTAGCAAGTGCTTTAGATTTTAAAGCTTTGGTTATGTCCTGTTTATGCCTCTTTTCCATTTGACATGCAACCTCATCCACTGTCTAGAGCATGTTAGCTATTTGAGCAAGGAGAGATACACTATTTGCTTATATAACCACCCAAATTCAGTGTTGTTCTTGAATTAAAAACTTTCTAGATTGCTGAAGCATTTAATTGACTTCCAGAGATTTCAAAAAGATGATTCTGTATTTTGTTTTTTTATTGACCCATGTTATGATTTTATGAAGGAGAAGATATTTGGAGGCCTGGACCCTGCCAATTTTGCTGACATCTTTCTAGGATAAAACCTTTGAGAATAGGAGCTCGTAGTAGGGCACCAGCAGGTGGCATCGTGGTTGGGGACTGGACTCCCACATGGCTGCAGTTTGAGTCCCTTTCACTTGTTTTCTCACTTTCCCTCTCTCTCTCTGGTGAGCAAACATGCCCTATAGCAAATTTTTAAAATAAAATAATAAAAAAAAATAAAAAAGAGCTCATGGTCGACAGGTACTGATTTTCGGAAACTTTATTATTTACAATAAGATATGATAAATGGGAGCTTCAGATCAGAATCAATATCCTCCCCCCATGTGTCATTGCCTTCTTTCTGAACTATTTCTCTTTGTATTTCTACCTTTTTTTTTTTTTTAATTGTCAGAGTATGTGTACTCCAGAGCGAGAGAGAGCACGTGAATGAGCATCCCTCAGTGGGGAGTGGTCACAGTGTAATCCCTTTGCCTCCGTTTCTCCCTCCTGTCAAAATTTTGGGCATGCACTAGCTTGTTTTTCAAGCTGCCAGGCCAGGGATCAAATTATGGTCAGCCACTTGGGATCCAGCTCGCAATGCATAGTTCTTAACCACTGTACTACTCGGCCAAGCCATATACTTCACCTGTCTTGGTGTTTTTTGGTGATCCTGGCTATAGGCTTTCCTACACCTGATGCCATCC